TTAAACGAGTTTCTGCTAACTACCAAGTTTTTATCTATCGGTTCACGACAGTTTAAGTTAATCATAATAGCTGCACGACATGCTTCATGGCATAGTTCAGCGTTACGCAAATAATAGTGCAACTACATCCTGGCAATGATCAGTAAGATGATGGCGCATAGCTAAAATTAATTATTATTATTTATTATTAGTTGTTACGAGAGATGAGCATACGAAATGCCATGTAAAGACTGCAACCCGATCATATCATAGGGCGATACAAGACGAGCACCTGATCAACTAATGATCATCTTGATCACAAGACAGGATAATAGGATAACTTCCAGCCATCTTTTCAACACACTGCAGCATCAACATTCACAACATTAATTGGAAGCTGAGCCACCACCGAAACAACAAATTACACTACAGCCTTACAACAGCGCGTAGGACACTAAATACTTAGAAACAGCTACTCATAGATACCACACCGCAATGTCTTCCATAAGTCCACTCATACACAGAGGCCCATGGGCTCGAACCATAAGACACGTCATTATCTAATTTGCCCTCAAATTACATACCAGTAACCCAACGCTAACGCAGGCTCGCGGGCCAGTCACTACAACATCAGTGACAAGCAAAATTCCTACCTCATAGGATTGTTCTTAGCTTCTCGTCTCAGGACCTTCCATATGTCCGAGCACCACCCTACGCTGGGTACTACAATGACACGGAGTGCGTCGACATACCCGCTCACGTATCGCATACGGGTGATGTGTTTACTGCCAGACATATTTCGGATGTTACTCACGAGTTCATACTAGGTAAACACTTGCAACAATTTGCACTCTTACAATTATACAACTACTGCGCGAGGAGCTCAAATAAACAAATCGAACACATATTGCGACAAGCTAATAATTGTCGCAAAAATCATTTCGAGCCTACGAAAAAATATTGTGTTGAGAGTTTTAGATTATTGTTTTTTTATTTAAAACATTTCACAATACAAAAAAGGTATAAAGTATAATAAACCACAGCCATGAAGCGCGTTAGGTCAAAGACTCACATCAAATCGAGCGCAATAACGTCACCTAACACAGATAAAATACATCGAACTTTGTGTCATTAACAACCAGACAAAACTCTCAACACAATGACTTGAGACTGTCTATGTAAACTAAATAAGACTCGTTATACTGCAACACAGGTGATGCATTCAACCCCCCCCCCCGCCCCCCCTCCGCCCCCCCCCAACGTCTTCTCACAACATCACTATATGAACTATAATCTCAAATTTCCTTCACTGAACCGATTATAACATATTCGACACTTAGGAGATGATACCCTGACGCTTACACAGTAGCAACTTCCACTTGAGGAAAGAAACTCTTCATCTCGCGATGGAACATGGCACCCGCTAACGTACACAACATCTAAAACATAACTAAACACAATATAATGCTTCCGTTCCGATATCAACAGCGACTGCATGGCATGAGACAACCTCAATGAATTGGTATGGACCGTGTATCACTTATTACAGTGCAGCACACTTCATTGTTCCACCGACACTGAACCCCCACGATTAAATTACCGCACCGCTACATGCACAGCATGTAACCTAACTTATAAAACCTTAAATGGACTAAGACCCAAGTAGTCATTATACGATACCGCGATTCGTCGGCCATCAATCTCGCCAGACCACCGTACAACTACCTTAACCAATGACCATAAGGTATAACTTGACGCTAGTAATTACACAGTCTCCTCCCTACAGCTCTGGGTAGTATATACACATCACTGGAAAATGTTACCCTAACATCTTCGCTTTGAAGTTTCACTAATCCGAAAACAACTTCGTACATATTGAATTACCTTTGAACTCATATCTTAACAGCAGATAATAAATCTAATATGTAAAATAATCATCTCAGTAATAGAAATCCGCCTTAACGTAATCATACGTAATGGAGAGTACATCTTCGTTATACGCCCAGTGTTCCGTAGTCCACTCTAGAGCGAGGCGTCACTATCTCTACATACAATCTGTATCTTCATTATCTGGCGACGTGCCGTGAGACAGTACAACACACAACTGGACTAATCAACTTTCATTGCGTCTTCATCATCCTATATCATCACCTATATTTAACGTGCTCACTCTTGCAAAGTATCTACTAGAGCCGAGCGTTCTCGTCCCCCGTGTTCACACTCACACACCTTATCTCCTTCTTCACTCCTAACCTTGAAGTACATTGAGGGCTGTATGAATGTGTCACAATCCTCGTACGTCCACGTGAACATAGTATGAAACTGGACGTCACACTACTGGTTTAACCCGACGAAACTTCAAGACAGAGCAGATGCGATAGCTTGCCAGATTATAAACCATTACTAAATTACGGTACATACACGCGACCACATACCACAGTTGACATATCAATGGCGCCACTGCATGCTCAATCACCGTCCACTACACAGAGCCCTCACTCCACAGGTCCCATACATTAGTCAATTCATAAACGCACGGACACACACGCATGCAACTTTGCTTCTCCAGCCAAAATCCCCGGGAAGGACGCACCCTTCTTCGATCGCTTCCCCTACCCAGAGGCATCACTTTCCAGTTCAATTCGAACCCTCGCCTCCCTCGGAGCGATTCTACAAATCTAATAAAGACCCCAAGACCAAGTTTCACCTGGTATCCCCTCAGATAAATCCCTGCGCCCACCATCCACGCATCACAGATAGTTCACACAGTTTCCGCGCACATATTGGACTGTCTGTTACATGGAATCTCACGCGAGCTAACCACACCCTCCTCTTCACCCTCCATGGGCGTAGACACCAGTTTCATCCCCTCTACCGCCTAGCACAGTTCCCCGGCGATATATAGTCTGAATATAGTCAGTCACTAGCATGCAAATTAGTATATGTATTAAATATAGTATTTCTCATATATATATATTATATATATTATACTGCGTACATTAAATATATACTTATATAAGATATATATAGATATAATGTAATATTAATAATAATCATCAAGTCGGTATACTACTACTTTTATACAATTAACATATGCAATACATATTACGATGTTACCTCACACATGTCTCCTGTGACACTATAATCCCAACCGCGTCCACGACACCGAGAATGCGGAGATGAGGGTGAGGGCAGGGGGGGTGGGGGGTGAGGACGGGGGGGGGGTGGGGGTGACCTGGAGGTGTTCGACACAGCACAAAAGCAACAATGAAATCTATCCTTTACTTAATTGACCTCGATCACTAGTATCCACCCTACGTGACACTACTCTTTCCCTCACGACAAAAATAGACTATCGATAAATGGGTATTAAAGTCCGCGACAGGTTGGTAGGGTATGTACACATAAGGGCAACAGGTTAGTAGGCAACTTCATCTCCCGAAAACACATCGCGCCTTACACATAGGCTTCTTCGCCTAATACAGCAAGTAGGCAGAACAGTAGAGATGTGAAGACGATGTAATCAGTCCCATCACTCCTTGAAGTCGTAGAATTTGGGGTGTCAGTCCCTTCGGCCTGGAGAAGTTCAGATTCCATAGTCTATGGAACTGAACTCTCGCAGGCCGAGGACTGAGCAACCTCAAATTCTACGACTTCAAGGGTGATGGACTTGATTACATGCGTCTTCACTCTTCAACTGTTCCTGCTCCTACTTTCTGTATTCGGCTGAAGAAGCCTACTGTGTAGGCGAAACGGTTTCGGAATAAAGTTGCCTAACTGTTGCCTAGTGTCGTACCTACCAAAATTATACTGACAATGAAACGCCGACCCGACCCACCTCATTTCCTCCCACTCATACCCCCCTCCCGTCAATCCACTCGTCTATCCCGTAAACACACCCTAACGGCAAAATGCCATGCCAGAAATACGATACATTACGTCACGAGCACGGGTTGTAACCTCATCCTACTGTAACCTATTCTCATATGCTTCCCATGTAATCAGGGGAAAAATTCCCTTTGCAAGGCGCCACAACCCCTCCGGCCACTAACAATCATACATCCCACCGCTAGTCTTGACCTTCTTCCCGGCTCTCAGTCCACGCCAAAGCCCTCAAAACGGTTTACACACTCAGCAACTCTACTCCTGTATACATTCGTTCAATCTTATCATGGAACCTGCCTAACACCCTCTTCCCACGCAGACCTTTCCCTCATCACCACCCTGTTAATGAAGACACATTTGACTCCTCCGCTTTAAGTCCCATCAATCCCAACCCCCTCCCTGAACGCACAGGTAACATGAGCGAGGTCTCAGTTTAAGCTACTCGGACATAGCCCGAACCACCAAAAGAATCTTAAAAACATCACCTAAGTATGTCCGCTAATCGCCGCCCCATCTTAATGGGAAAACGGGGCTGCCACGTGCCTTACTTGTTTGCTTTAGACAATTAAGACATTTAAATAACTATGGCACCGCACCAACGGGACAAAGAATAGGTCGGTAATGCTCCCTAGCGTCCCTGAATTATTGTAAACTGATCAAAAATATATTTAGTTCTAACGCTAGAATTAAAAATCTGCGCGTGTTCATCACTATCTGGGTAGGTAAGTTCTTTAAGGTTCTGTTTGGTATTCATCTTTTGTCATTTTTTATAGTTTAACTTAAATGATATAAAACATTTATAAACGCATTAAGAGAAATTTTCCGTGAAAGGACTTAATTTTAATATGAGTCTTGTTAAAGTACGAATTTTTACCTATTCGGCACGACACACACCCATTCTATATATATATAGTATATATTATATTCTATATCTAACACTATATAGACTATATATAATATACTTTCTTAGTATATCTTATATAGATTTATATATATATCATTCTAGGCAGTGGCTGTGCTTGCCAACCTCTTCGTGGAATACTGGAGACAGAGAAATTCAGCGCCTTCATTCCCAACAGCCGCGAGTTAGCCCAATCGCGCTAAGGAGACGTTTGAGTTATGTATTGGTTTTCTAGATCCAGAGACGTCTCAATATCCAGGGGCGCCTTTCTCAACAAGATTCAATGCAGTTAGAACCATCAATAAACTTTACACTTGAATCTGCGAAAAATGATGGCAAACTTCCTTTTCTCGACGTTTTCTACTGTGCAGAGGATTCTCCTCCGACAGGGGCCGCAACTTCTCTTGAAAGTGTAATAGGAAAGCCGACCAACAGGTACGATCTTGATAAATTAGACCCATGTGTCAACTCTGGTCGTATACTTTATTGAGGAAACGTTTCGCACACAGTGCTTACATCAGCTCCCATACAAAGGAGAATCTGAAGAACCTAGATGAGAATGAGTATATCAGTCCTTAACCCTTGAGTCATATTGGTCGGAGTCTCCATCAACTCTTGAATAGAATACGTGAATACGTTTCCAGAGAAGGCGAGGCTTATAAACCGTTCTGCTGGCAGGTAGAGGGCACAGTCATAGGTGGTGCTTAACATTTGTTCAATGTTGAAGACAGGTCGTGGCCGCAAGAATTAGGCAACCGAAGAATCCAAGTATTAAATCCCAAGAAGTTGCAGGTGGTGCTGACAGGTTTTAGTGAATGGTTCAGAGAACCGACATGTTGATAAAATTTAGACACATGTCACCTTCTTGGGTATCTTATTGAGGAAACGTGTTTTCGGCCACACAGTGGCTTCATCATGTCCCTACAATAGGAGAATCTTTGAAGCACAACAGGAGGAGAATGAAGGGTATTTTAAGCAGCATACCCTCAACCTTGAGTCGATGTACGTCATCCAAGCATCTTGAGGGATACCCAAGAGCGTTGCACCTATGTGTCTAAATGTATCAACATCGTCGGTTCTCTGAACCATTTCATCACACAAGGCACGATCTTATCATCTTTTATTCACAACCAAGACACCCGCACTAAGAGAGGAAGTCATCATTGGCTTCTTCTTGAGAGCCTCTTCGCATCTCCAGCCCTTGTTTTCCTAGAAGCAGATATGCACTACAGAACACAAGCCTTTACCGTACCTTCATTCCCATCTTCTTATCATCGAGATTGCTGACTTAAGCACAAGCTCATCCCTCAACAAATACTCGCCCATGGAACAGGCCGCGCCCTAAGCATTTCATAAGTACTCCCATGGAGGTTAGATGTGCCACAGAATACTCGCCGTCACTTGCTATGACTCAACAATCAAGCGTTTCCACCATAAACACAATCATCTATCAAAGACCTCACTACGAAACGCAGAGCCCCACAACTCTAACTTCTACAGGCAGCGCGTCTACACTCCTCCCCTGTGGGTTCGAGTCCCAAGAAATATTAGTCGAGACAGGCAGTGACTATCTCTGCAGTCCGCCTGAATGAGCATCGAAATGGCATCTAACAGAGACATGTAAGATGTGCGCCTGTGTCCTCTCCACTGAGACTCCAAGAGCCATTATGTATGACTGGAATGAGGCATCAACTCTTCTCGAGTCAGCGAACAGACCTCAGACGCCGTCGGTGGCACAAGCCTTCACTAATCGCCGTCACCGACTTAGCCTATTAGAACGCAACACTGAAACCAGTTGAAAAATTTCAACAAACAGTGGCATACATGATACGTAACGCAGTCCACCGACCAACAACACAGTAGTCACATGATTTTCATCGTCTACCCGTTCTCATAGGTAGCAAGGTCTGTTTGGATAGGACCCTGCCCGCATGGCCAGTAGGCCGTGCTACAGTGTTCCTACATTCTTATTTTCTTATGACATTCCTATACCCAGGTCTAAGTGCGCTCACACTGACCTCAACTCGCACCCTATATATATAATGATCTCTTCTCACCTCCTGTATGTTACGAAGGATCAAGGTCCCAGGACTGAAACGTTTTTCTCTAACTAAATTTCCATAAGAGGTTGCTTACGTGTACGTTCTACACACCAACTTGTCGGTATTATTACAAAGGTTATACCATATCTATATACTATATATACTTAGTATATACTTTCTATTCTAGCTGTATATATATATTATATTATACGTAAAGTACTTATATAGTTATATAATATAATATATAGAATACTTACTAGGTATATATATATAACTGCGACAAGGGAGGGGGGGGGGGGGGGGGGGGGGGGGGGGGGGGGGAAACTATATTATATAGCTTCTAGTTCATATACCTCTGCTACTCAGCAGTATCAAATCTCTGCTCCCGTCCCTACTTTTCCTTCAACCCACTGCACTGTCTTGCTTCCTCCTTCTCAACTCATTACTCCACCTCGCCCTGTTCCCACTCCCGTCCTTCCCCCTCCATGCCCCATCAAACCCCTGGACCTCCCGCCGCTCCACAGCTCTAGTTTTTAAACAAACCAAGTTGTGTTGGGATTAAGTGGTGAGTCCTTCCCCCTCCCCCCTCCCCCCCCCCTCCCCCTTCCATCACATGACCACCGCCCCCGGTCCCGCCTACCACCCTGCGAATGACTGAGAGTTCTCTCCTCTAGTTTATAATGTGTTTATGTGATGGTGCTCTTTGATGATGTTGATATTATGGTGGTTTATTGATGGTTTTGTGTTTTTTTATGCGGTGGTAATTATATTAGGATGTTATGGTATTTACAAAAGAACAAAAAAGGCACAATACCGAACTGGAACAATACACGATAGACCCTGCGGTCCTAACTGCCTAAGCTCTTGGGAGTTAGCGTGGGCCTGTGTGACCAAGCACCAAGGCTTGTTGTAGTGTTTTAGAATCTCAGGTTCAATTGTTTGAAGAAGGAAATTCTACTTCTTCAGTAGGTAATAGGAGGACTGAAGCTTCGCATAGATGAGTTTGGGAGCGAGTGTGAGAAGGATTTTAGCTGGTAAGGGAGGGGAATGGTCGCCATCAGTGGATAGTGGCAGCCGCTTTAGTGGCACGTGGTTCACAGTTGCAGGAAGAAGGAAGGATGAGGAGAGTAACAGAGAGAGAATGTGAAGGTTGGAAATCGATTCTCTGTCTCCAAGACGAGTGTACTTCATTGGTTAGTGATGTAGAAGTACCACTGATTCCCCTGCTAATCAAGTAAGAATATTTTAATAGTAGGCGATTCTCAGGTAAGAAAATATGGACCGTGCATTTTGTAACAGAGACAGAAAGGTCCAGACAGAGAGTGTGTCTTCTGGAGCTGGTGTTTGGTGACATATCAGCAGGTTGGATAATATTATGGCAGGTAATGGGGATCAAGCCCATTATCTGTAGTTAGTGCTGGGTGTAATGACATGGAAGGGCAGGAGAGAGGAGCGCTAGATATGTACAGGTCATCCATAAAGTATTAGGTCTAAGGAGGGATCCCAGCCCCCATATGTAGCATCTTGCCTAGAAAGGGAGTGGGCAATGAATGATGTCCCCCCCCCCCCCCCTTTAAAAGGGTAATTGGTATAAATTGCTGGCTAGACAGGTACTCGAGGAACTTAGGCATCCCATTCATTGATAACTGGGACTAATTCTTGACAAAAACCCGTGAATTTATGCAAGGGATTGGGGTTCATCTCTCTGGGAGTGGAGTGGTTGCATTTGCCAATTCAATGAGAGGGTAATTGATGAATTGACAGGAATTTAAACTGTAGATTATGAAGGTATGGGTGTTTTGTGGAAACAATCAGGCTGCAGCATTACGTGTTAAAACAGCCAGTTTATTACCGGATACCTCATGATAGGTTTATACTAATACAATAATTCAAAATAAAGGTTGCTAGTAATGGCATATCAATTGATCAACAAAACAAAGGAGGATAGTAAAGGTCATCGAGTGACTAGCTTCCGTAAAGTTTACATACAAATAGTAGGAGTCCTAAGAAATAAGAATAGGATACTAAAGATTACTTCAAGTGTTAGGTAATATAGATATTATTGGTATAACGCGAGACCTGGTTCAACCTGAAAGATAGAGAAATGGCCTTCTGAATGCCAACATACAGGGTTATAAACTAGTCCTCACTGACAGGTCAACAGGAAGGTGGTGGGGGTGGATATGTAAGTCAGAGAAAATGTAAATTGTTGTCTTAGACATGATATAAGATTAGAGACATCGAAACAGAATCTTTTGGCTTACATTTTCTCGCGGGACATGACAAATTAATTTTGTTTGTATTTTATGGCCCCCAAACCTTGATAGGAGGGCAGTAAGCGTTAATGGGGACGAAATTCATAAGGCATCTAGATATGAAAAATGATGTTATAATGGGAGATTTAACTTTAGAAAATTGATTGGAAACAAATACATATGAGAGGAAATCTTGAGTCTAGTGGCTTTCTTGATACGTTTTTCAGGATTGCTTTTTAGAACAGTTGTGACAAGAACCAACTAGAGGAAACAATCTGCTTGACTGGTTTCTTAACCAACAAAGTATCACTAACTAATAATCTTGAGGTTAATGATGACGTGGGGAAAGTGATCACAAACCACTTAGTTTTTGAATATATCATGAATTACCCAGATAACTGCAATCAATCTCTGTGTGGGCTATATTGGGGATTTCCTGACTATGGGTCAGGTAGGTGGATCTGGTGCCAATATGACGTTTTTCAGAGCTTAGGTTCTAGCTGCCGCAGACTACTTTTGTTCCGAGTAGGAAATTAGATCAATCAAAAATGATCCCAAATGGATGAACAATAGATTAAAACATCTCATTGGTCAAAAGAGAGGCAGATAAGGCGTATCAAAAGAGGGAATTGGGCAGGATAAGAAATCAATATATTCAATAAAAGAGAGAAAATAAAGAAAGGAATTAAGAAAAGATCAAAAAGGAATTAATGAGGCTAATGTCACAAGGATCAAGATTAACCCAAAAAGGATTCTTTCAGTATACAGAATAAGATGTAGGGACAATAATGGCGCACATAAGAGTAACTCTGGTCAGATCACTGACATGATAGGATAATGGTGTGAAATTCTAAATAACGTACTTCCCTCAGTTTGCACCCAGGAAAATACTTGCGATATTCCTGAAATAATAGATTATGTAGAACAAGGATGATAATAACCTTGTACGAATGCGGTAACTAGTACATGGTCCCTCAGACAAACAGAGAAACTTAAACCTAACAAATACCGCAGGCCCTGATGAACTTGTTTGCAATGGTGTTAAAGACTGAAAGAGGACCTTACATCCCTTTGGCTAATCTTTTTAAACATATCACACAAACTGGCATAGTGCCTGATAAGTGGAAAATGGCAAATGTAATACCTATTTTACAAGGCAGGTGACAGGTCATTGGCGTTCGAACTTAGACCTATTAAAGTCCGTACCTCCATAGTGGAAAATTTATGGAATCAGTAATTTGCCAAGCAATTCGAAGCCATCTTGACAGGCACTGATTGATTAATGAATCTCAACACGGTTTTACAAATGGCGTTCCTGTCGTACGAATTTACTTACTTTTTCACTAAGGTTTTTGAGGAAGTAGATCGTGGTAATGAATATGATATTGTGTATATGGACTTCAGTAAGGCTTTCGTCAGAGTTCCACACCAGAGGCTATTGAAGGAAACTTAAGGCACACGAATAGGAGGAGATTTTTTTCCTGGGTAGAGGCATAAAAAAAAAAATTTTGGGGTTGACAATAGACAGCAGAGAGTTTGCATAAATGGGTAGAAATCAGAATGTGGGCTCGTCACAAGCGGTGTTCCTCAGGGGGTCAGTGTTGGCCCGTTGTTGTTACAAGTTTACATAAACGACATATAGTAGGGAATAAATAGCGACATAAGCAAATTGCTGATGACAACCAAAATAGGCCGTCCAATCAATTCTAGATGAGGACACTAGAGCACTCCAGGATGATTTTGAATATACGATGCATGGTCGGAGAAGTGGCAGATGCAGTTTGAATATTGACAAATGCAAAGTTCTAAAATGTTGGGACAGGTAAATAACCATGCACATAAAAAACTAAATAATGTAGATCTTAATACTACTAAATGCGAAGAAGGATTTAGGATTCTGGTTAGCAGAATCTAAAACCAAGCACAACTGTGCATTAGTGTTCGCAATAAAAGCTAACAGAATTCTTGGCTTCTATCTAGAAGTTAAATAAAAGAAGTCCTCAGGTTGTTCTTCACACTCTATATATCCTTGGTTAGGCCTCATTTAACTATGCTGCTCAGTTCTGGTCCACCGTTTTACAGAATGGATATAAATGCTCTGGAAAAACGTAACAGAGGAGGATGCCAAAGATGATCCCATTGTCAAAATTCTTCCCTATGAGTGATAGGACCGAGGCCCCTAAATCTGCACTCTCTCGAAGGCGTAGAAATTAGGGTGGATATGATCGAGGTTGTAGAAAATGGAAAACCGAATAAAATATAGGGGAAGTAAATACCGTGCGAGAAAATTTCCAGTCACAAGAACAGGACTCGCAGCAATGGTTTCAAGTTGGAAAAATTCGATTCATGAAGCATATAGGAAGCACTGGTTTGGTAATAGAGTTGTGGATGAGTTGAACAAACGCCCGAGTACAGTTATTCAGGCTAAAACGTTGTGTAGTTTTTAAAAATAGGTTAGAAAAATACATGAGCGGGTGGTGGGTGGGTGTGAGTTTGTGACCG